CACACACACACACACTCAGTCGCCGTGCTCTGACGGATGGGGATACACTGCCAAGGAGGACTTAGGGGCGAGAAGAGTGTGTTTCTTTTCTTCTCTGGTGTGTTTTCTTTCTCTTCCGCCTGGCTTTCCTCATGAGCTGTTAATTCCAGCCCCGATCCCGAGGATGAGGAGGATCTATTGGTGAGGAAGACGCAACAAAGGAAGAAGAGGAAACAAGGAGCAACAGGGTGGTAAATTCTGCAACCGGGAGTGAGCGAAAAAGAGCTTTTCTTTTTCTACATGCTTGAGCAAGGTTAGTGTGGAAAGCTGCTTATGGTTACAACAAACACTGTCTGCTGTTATTGTTTTACCGTTTGTTCTGTACTTTGTTATCTCTTATTAGACATTTCCTATTCAGAGCATTTGATATTCATGTGCTTTCCATCCTCAGCGTCTATTAAAAGCTTAAATTAAAAAGGTCCTCACGGAGCAGTTTTTCCTCTCAAAAATAAAAGTCCCTTAGTTGCATTTTAGTGATATGAGTTTTTCATACAGTGAGCCTCCAAGGTTGGTTACTGAAGTTTCACTCTACGTCAACACAACTGTGTAATTTCCCAAAGGCACACAGGTGGAGTCTCCTTTGGTGAGGTAGCAGTGAGTGCGCTGCAGGAAAAGGCGAGGACAGCTCGCTCTCATCGGGCGCTCCTCAGCCTCAGCCACTTTACCCAGGAGGCAATTAAGCGAGATTGGCAGCCGATGCTGCCGGTAACTTGGAAACAGGGGTGTGGGAGACGAATAGCGGTACATGATAGGATTTAGGGGAGAGGGGAACAGAGGTGGAAGGAGATTCCCTTTGTTCATTGACACAAAAGCCCGCTCCTCTGTGAAAAACGCTGCTCTCGCCTGCGTGTCTGTGTGAAAACCAACCCAGGGGCAGCACTTGTGAGCTTTTATGATTTTTGCATGACAGTGAACATTGTTGGAAGTGTCTGTAGTGCGAGCGCATGTGCATATAAAATGTGTTTGTGTGTTCTGTGCGTGACTGTATGTGTGTTCATGCATGCACGAGGATAATAATATGTCTCTGGTGTGCACTGGAGGTAGTGAGTCTCCTAGGTGAGCCCTCACATTTAATCACCAGAAGTGGAAGCAATCATTCACACTTTAAACTAGTCAGACAATGGGAGGAGAGGAAAAATTATTAAAAACATCATAGCTCCGTTTGAAAGGTTGTGATACCTGGATGAACCGTTGTGTGATTTCTGTGACGAATGGATGAGCAGTTGTGTAATTTTACGCAACAAATGAGCTCCCTGAGGACTCTGCCTTGGTTTTAGGCTGTATTTATTTACTGTATGTGATCAGAGAAACCAATAAAGACCTATTCGGCTCACTATTTGCCCCAAGGGCTTTCTCGCAGCCATTGTTCAGTGTGAATAAGGTACGTGTGCCTGAAGACGCTGAGGTTGGCCTCTGGGTCCTGGTAACAAAAGCCTCTGACGCAGGCTAATGAACAGTGAAGTTTTTTAAAGATTTGCTGTGGAATTTGATTAAAAATGTATTTAAATGAAAGGAGAGTATCGTGTTCCCAGTGTAAACACAGGTGGAGGCACATAGGGCAATTACTCTGAACTGTGTGTGTTTTGACACAAAATGAGAGATATTGCATAAGCCTAAGCCTTGCCTCCATTCATTTGAGTCACAGCGAAGTGTTGGTCTACATTCAGCAGGATGTGTTTACACAAAAACCTCTAAAGGGAAGAATTTGGTTTTTAAAAGGGTCATTCAGATTTGGGCAGTGACTGCCCTCGCATTGTGTTTAGTCTGGACTGTTTTTGTCACATGATCCTCACCTCTACAGGAGTGACCGAACATAAGTAAGGTCAGGACAGCTGGGTCTGGCCATCAGTCATCAGCAGAGGACTGTTTCCTTGTGTCACCTTGTCTCAGGCACGCACACACACACACACACACACACACTGACACACACTCACACTCACAGCCACAGTACTGCCTCGCAGGGAAGGTTATTGTGAGTCCATCAGTGGCTCACTGACTTTCCCTACTAGGAGGAGTCATTGACATTGAGAGGGTATTAATGTTCGCTTGGTGCACACATTAACTCGCACGTACAGTATACAGACTCACACACCCCCACCAGGCATATGCACACAGACACTCACACACACACACTCACACTCACACCAGGGGAGGCGGAGAAGGGAGAGGCGTCGTGACCGGTGGCTTGGCAGAGGCCCTCAAGGTGAACATTTTAAGTGAGGAGCATTTCAAATTCACAACAGATGATCAAACTGGTGTTGAAACTGCAGAGTAGCTGGCGGCACCAGATGCAGACAATCTTTTGGCAGAAAAGGAGTTTTTGGTGCCTGAATCTCAAACATAAAAGTCGAAGGAGCGGAGCTGAAATTAATAAAACTGCGCTATCATCATCTCACGGATGGTGGTTCTTATCACAGTCCAGATGAGGCAAGAAAACTCTCGGCTATACCGAGCGGCATTTTCTGGTCGACTATCATCACTGCACACCTAATCCAGCTGTATATCTAGACGTATCAGAGCGCAGACAGAGCATCTTATTTTGGAGCGAGCACAAACTGAAACTGTGTTTCATGGTGAGATTGAAGTGTGTCCGCATTTTATCACACACAAACAGAAGACCTTTTTTTGATGGGAATTGAACATTTTGTCAGCCAAGTAAGCCGTATATTCCCAAATGTCTCCAATATGAAAGACTGAGTAATACACCAACAGAAAATAATTACCTTCTATACCATTATACTAAATCTGTATGAGCCATACAGCAGAACTGAAAACTACGCAACAGTTTCACTAAGCATCTAATATTTTTAACTCAGTAATAACTCTTATATAAACATCTTTTGCCTCCCACGCACTGAAATCTAAAACAGATACACAGATTCTGAATTTGCACAGAAAAAAATAAATAAAAAAAAGTGCTATAAGACACGAGAGGGTCAGCATCACAGCAGAGGAGACAGGCTGAAAGGGAATGGTCCTGTTTTTTCCACACCGCGTTTGTTTGAGTCAGAGCCCCGTCAGTTTGAGTGCCGCCCCCCCCTCCCTATAACACTTTGCTAAGCTTGTTTGCTCTAGACTTTGTCTGCTGTTCTGACCTGCAGTTAGTTTGTGTAATGCTTTTCTCATCAAAGAGCAGCTGAAAACCACGTCGGCACCTGTTTGACCTTCATCAGTAAAATGACAATGTTACAATCAACAGGTGGACGGGGCCACATGAACCCAGCTGAAGGGAGCACAGCCTCACGTACAAGCCACAAACATTCTTTTTTTAAAGTGAGCGCTATATGAAAAAAGTTAATGTTAGAGCTGCAACGATCATTATTTATGAACCTGTAAATTACTTTGCCATTAAACAATCAATTGTTTGACCGAAAATAATGACAAATTTCTTATCAAGGTTATCTAGATTGCTTTTTAGAAGCAGGAACAATTTATTTTTGCTCAATAAATAGTTAGGAAATACATTTCCTGTCAATCGTTTAACTGATGAATCGATACGCACCAATTATCATATGACATTTAGTTGGGATGAATGTTACACATTCATCTGTAAGTTCTTCTGTTTATGCCTGCTTCTCTGCTAACAATGTAAGAATGTGACTAATGATGTTACCATGGATTGAACACAAAGATTTTCCTTCATTAGGAGTAAAGACAAAGCGTTCTGACTGCAGGCCGACCACACCATAGTTAAACTCTAACCTCACACCACCTGGCAGGTGGACTACAAGGTCTCGGTTTGGACCTGAGTTCTGAAAAATGTTCACTGTAGGAAATCTCTGCATGAATAGCTCCAGTGTTCAGTATAAAAACTGCCATTGTGAAATATTGTCCTCCTTTCATGTGGATTGCTGGTCCAACACAATTCAAAAATCTGCTACAAACCTAAAGTGCAGCACTGATATGCCTCTGTTTGCACATCAGAACCGAACAACAGCTTTTATCTGACTTTCTCAGTGCTCATTCCACATTTACCCCCCATGAAAAATCATATTGAATCGTTTCCAACTGAGAGTGTAACTCATTAATAACACCAACAGCAGCAATGGCAGACAAATAATTACATTCTCCAACCCAAAATAAACAGCAGCATGTAGTCTCTCAGTGTGCGCAGAAGTGTCTTGTTTTCTGATCTGCGGTGCAGAAAAACTGCATTCATTTCCATTTGGTTTGTCTCTCATCGTGATATCTTTCTCCCGAGGGTTCACACCGAGTTCCCCTGCCCTTGGGCCTGGCTCCCTGCATGTGTGCGGCTGACAGTGTGTGTGTTTTTTAATGTGTACTTTAATTTGTGTTTGTGTGCTTGTTAGAAAGAGGCAGAGTTATAAAGAGAGCAAGAGTGTGTACAGTATGTAAATGTGTGGCTAAGAATATAAGAGTGTGTGCGCTTGTGTGTGTGTGTGTGTGTATGTCTATAGTATGTGTATGAGTGTGAGCAAGCGAGGAAGAGCGAAATAGAAAGAGGGAGGCTGACAGAAGCAGGTTCCTTGATGAGGCGTTGACAGTTGCCTTTGATGCCGGCTTCCCCTCCGTATCAGATTCCACCGAACAGATGATAATCTAGCCTGTAGAGCGAATCACACACACACACACGCACACACTGTCTCTATTCATCAGCTGTAAGCGCTCGCTCTCCCTCCATGTGGCCCCCGTATACTTCAGTGCTGTAACCATTAGATGCCAGAGGCAGAAAGCCAGTTAGCACTTTGTCCCATTATACTGTCAATGCTAATATCAGTAGCCAGCTCCACGTGGTAACTCCATGCATCCCGACCCTTTGGGCGTACTGTAACACGTCTGTTCTCAACAACCACACAAGTCAAAACACAAACACAGCGGCACAGTCTGCTTATTTGCAGCTGATAAAACAGCCCATTAAATGTTTTCATTATATCTAAATTTCAATATGTCAGGGAGCTTTTGTTTTTGCCCTCCTCCTCCTCCTCAGTATGTGTATGTACATCGCTTTGAGCTTTGTTGCTGTGTTGTTTTCAGGGGAGGGTGGTAAGGGGTTTTATTGGTGTCAGGAACACATTTCCTTGCGCAGCTACTGAAATGAGAGGCTGAAGGAATAATCAAATAACGAACAAGCTGTTGAAATTCAGCACAGGTTCACCCAGTGGCTGTTTTGAATATTAATGCACTGTTTGCTTTGTGTGTGCGTGTGAAGAAAAATTACATCGATTCAGACTCCTTTGAGGTTCTTGTAGAATTGACCCAGCTGAAAGAGTTAAATCACGCATGAATGATTAT